CTCGCCTCTTTTGCCGTCTGAAAGAGCACCTACCGGCACAATAGATCGTTCATTACCGATACCGGTGCGCGACGCGGACCCGGCCGAAAGTAGAGAGATAATAATGCGAGAAAAGGAGGAGAGGTGAGAAGGTTTTTCTCGGTTGTGGCGAATACGTGTGTCTAAAGCGTAACGACGCGCTTCGAGTGTTGGAATGTATATATCGGTGACAATCATCATTTCCCCTGTTTCCTTCCCTCTCCCCTTCCCCCTAACCGTGTATCCGTCAATTTTCTTCTCGACTGTAACGAGCATCGTCCCCTTATTTATCGAGAATTTACCGAGATTAGTCGGTAAATTCAGGAAACTGTTTTATCGTTATTCTTCTTATTCGACGATTCTTCTCGCGATCTTTCGAGATGGTAAGATGGCTCTTCTCGCGTCACACGCGTTTCGAGTAGAGTAACGTGAGAGAACGAGAGTCGGGTAATAATTTTTTACGAGGATCTTATTTTTCTGTTAATTGTTATTGGTTAGACATGGTTGTACATTTCTGACCTGGTTCATCGAGTATGAAATTATATCAACTTTTTTTTTTAGGTTATTATAGTTTAGATCTTTTTTGTTCGATAACGTCGAATTATTTATCTCTTCTTTTCGAATCTGTATTAAATCTATGTATTAGTTAGGTTAGATTTTTTCCCATTAGATTCGCTATTTCTTGAAGCAAATAATTTTTATAACTGATACATATTATCACGTTTAAGTATTTCATGTTTTTAATCGAGTTCCTTTGCATATCTTTAAATTTAAAACATTTATAAATATTTCTAAGGCAAAATTTCAAATAGCTATTATTATCTGAAATAAATGGGTCTTTTTATATAATTAAATTCAAGCTCGTAAATAAATTGAACGAGATAAGATATAAATAGAAAAGAAAACTATTTCTACAATTTTATATTTTACGCGTTTAATTAAAAAAAAAAGTTATTAATTAAGAATATATTAAATTAGAATAATTTATTCATGTTATTATTGTTTTATATTTAACTTATTTTTGAATATTACTCATTTATATTAAATCTACACATTAGATTAAGTTTTATATATATAAATTTAAAACATTTATAAATATTTCTAATGTAAAATTTCAAATAAGTATTATTATCTTAAATAAATTTTTTATGTAATTAAATTCAAATTTTATATTTTACACGTTTAATTTTAAAAAAAAAATATTACATAATTTTTATTTATCATACACAATAACATATTGTTTACTCGATATAAGCAAAAGATACTTACATTTTACTTTCATTAACTTTTATTTAATTCAATCTTGAAGAAAAATGATCTGTCTCTTCCCAATTGCTTGGAATTAAATATATCATATTCTTTGCTAAAAGAGAGAGACTTTTCTGCCTCTTTGAATGCTAAATTTTTTTTAAGGATTTTTTTTTTCTTTTTTTTAATTACGCTCTTAAGAACTACTTAAGAAGTTGAAAATGGGTTGAAAAGAGATTTCTTTGAAAGACTAACGAGCCGATCTTATCTCATTCCAGCGGCGTGTCAAAATCGTGAACAGTCTCGGAAGTGACAGGACAGACAGAGGGTATAGCCGCGACCACCGATGGCGGCCGCGAGCTTTCCGCCAAACTTCTCGAACGTCGGCATATTGGAGAACTGGTAAGTGATTGTGCCACAGCTTGTCACGCTTTCGAATTATTACTAGAAGCCTCTTAAAAGTCTCGAAAGCTTCGTTAAAGCTAGAGGTTGCCAAGAGACTAGAGCGTAATAAATGCGCAGACGCCTCGGTTTCCGTTCCCTTCGTTCTTCCAAAATTTAATAAACACTTAAACTCGAATTTTCCCTCCGAGTAAAAAGTAAAAAGACATTTAATTTTGGTCAATTTCCATTTCTAAATAAAAATATCTCGTCAAATTATTCAACTTTCACACATTCATCGTTAGAAAATTTAAAAAGAAATTTCATCGGTAGTATTTATTTATAGCAATGCCATTTTTCGAAAAAGAGATTACGCGTGCGAGAGAGAGAGAGAGAGAAAGTTTACGATTCCGCCGCTATCGAAGAAAGGTTTTCGAGTGTTTCTGATGAGCGACACGTGGCTCCCCCATAGTAATAAAATTCGACCATCGCTGTACAGCGTTGCAACATGTAATCTATAATCTCAACTACTCGCGGTGTTGGCAAGCGTAAGGTAAAATATAAAAGTAAAAAAGTCGGTTAATTTCGAGTCCAAGACTAACCGAGGCGGCTGTGCATAGGCAGAAACAAGCGAACCCAGTAGTGTCCCACTGTTGGAAGCTTCGTTGGAGCATTATTGAATCTATTTATTCGTAGTGCATGCTGTCTGTGTGTGACACGAGTGTCGATTAAAAATAATCTCTACGATTAATCTTGGATTAATTTGAAGAATTTCTTCGTATCATCGTCCATCATTTTGTCGATATTTTCTTATTCCTCCACTGACGGAGATCTCGCGTCGATTGAAAGTAAAGAAAAAAAAAACGAAATTTCGAAAATTTCCAGCTAAATATATATATTTATATTTAACTTGGAGAAAGTTTTGTTTTGAATTTCGTTTCGTAATCGAATTTCCCTTTCTCGCTTCTTCTCAAGTTTTCCAGCAAATTGATCTCTGAAAATTGCGTAAATCTTGCTTATTTTAATCGATCGAATTTTCCCACGTAACGATTCAAGATGAAAAGAGATGAGGAAGAAGATGAAGCGTGACGATACGCCGATTCGACGAAGTTTGAAACGATTTTCATTTTTCCATCTGCTACTTATTTGAACGTCCACCTTTTCGACTTGTCGACTTCGTGATTAGATCTGTGCATCATGACAAGAACTGAATCCACCTTAAAAAGTTGTCTCGTGCGGAGGAAGGAAAGGAGGAGAGCGTGAAAAGAAGAGGGGCATAATGGGACGAAAAAAGGGGCCATTGTGGCGTGTAACGAGACGACCGCGTTGAAATAAACTTGTAACTTTAAATTGTTATTGACGCGCGTGAATTTCGGCCGGAATTTTTGCAATTTTTCTCCCGAAATATTCTCCAATCTTATCTTTGATATCTGGTAAATTAATTGTTACGTTAATCGTCGATATCGCAAATCGAATTTAGATAGATTCAAGTACATTTTTTAATCAATATTTAACGAAAAAGTTATCCAAATATCTTAAATCTTTCCAATGTTTTTTAGAGCAAATACAACATGGTAACACGATAATGCAAAACTTTTGAAAAAAATCGAGGAAATACATTTTTTACATCACGAAAATTACGATCATTTTTATAAACAAATTTCGAATATATATATTATTGTTTAGAAACATTTTTCTCCGACACTTTAACGAATAATACCATTCTGCTATAATCTTTTCATTCATCGTATTTAAGAAGAACGAGACTCAAAGATTACTTTATTTCCTCGACTAATTCCATCCATTACCGTGATACAATTTCTATTATCCAACGACTTATCGAAACTAGCAGCAACCTTCTTCAACGAGCGCAAATGCATCGAGATATGCTGTCTTTACAAAACCGGCTGTTATTCAAACAGCCTTTTCTCCCTCGCGAGTTGAAAAAGCGAGTCGATGTTTCTCGTTCTCAGCGCGTCAAGTCCACGATTCAAAGGCAATTTCATCAACATGAAAACGAAGGCAGGTTTCCACAAAGAGATTTCTCGGCTGTTATTAATGACCCCCGTGGACGGGGATTGCTCGCGTTCGCGCCCCCTTGCCGTTTGATATCGCGAACAAAATGGCGGAGGGGAGGAGGGAGGGAGAGGGGACAATGCGCGATTGTTGCCATAGCCTTCAGACGCAAGAAGACGTAACTCTGGCCTAAGCTAGGCGAAAACTAGGTCCTCCCCTTCTCTGATTAAAAATCTTTTCGGGGGAGGATTTCGCGATTTTTGCGCGTTTCTTTTTTTTCTTTTTCTTCTCCCCTCGACAGATTTAGTCGAATAGGGAGGGAAGTCGCGATTAACTCTTTCTTGTTCCAAAGCCTACGAAAAGAAAGAGGAAATCAATTGATCGAGTTTTCCAATTTTCAGTACATTTTACATTTTAATTGTCGATTAATTTTTGAAACGTTTGTGTTCTGAATAATTATCATTTATTTTCAAGTGTGTTCTGATTATATAGTTTGTTTCTTTTTTTGTTTTCTTCCATCGAAAGATTTCGTCGAATAACCAGGAAGTCACAATTAACTCTTTCCTTGTTCCAAGGCAAAGGAATTTAGTACATTTTAAATTTTAATTGTCGATTAATTTTTAAAATGTCGAGTTCTGATTATATAGTTTTTTTTTTCCTCACCGACAAATCTCGTCGAAGTCGCGATTAATTCTTTCTTGTTGCCTTGTTCCCAGGCCTCCTTGCAGAGGAAAATTAGTACATTTTATATTTTAATTGTCGATTAATTTTTGAAACGTTTATCGATAATGTTATATTATGTATTCTGAATAATTATCGTTCATTTTCAAGTGTGTTCTGATTATATTTTATTCTAAGTATATTATTCAATTATCAATAGTAAATCTAGAGAAATTGAGGATATTACAAGAATATAAAGTGTGAAGAAAAATTCGAATCGATATTATCATTGTTAATTCAGATTGGAGATAGCAGGTTTTGTTTTATTGTTATTTTAAGATAATTGACACCGAAGAATTAACTAGAAAAATAGATAGCGTTGGCCTATTATTCGAGCCTATAGCCAGAGTAAACAGACGAATCAGACGATATATTCCATTTTTTACGCTTGCGCGAACGTTTCAACGTGATTTCACTAGGGCGCGTGCATCAAAAATTCCAGCTCCTTTAATTCGTCCAACCAACGCAGTGAATAACGAGCGCCTTGCTCGATCGTTTCCTTTTGCGCATAAGCCACAACAGAGCCCGATCACTTGGTAAAATTCCACGCGGAGCTCTCTCCTTCTCTCTCTCTCTCTCTCTCTCTCTCGTTCTACGTCTCATCAATCATTCGCGAAGAGATTAATGGCGTTCGTTTCTCGGGAATGGGATGCGCTCTCCATCTATCCACCTCGATAATTCCGATCGAATCCGAATAATTTCTCTATCGAGATCATAATTTACCGTTTATCGATACAATAACGCTCTCCAATTATCGACGAGTCAGGCGCCCGTAACGCACCTGTAATCTTATAATTATAAATTATAATCCGCCGCCCGTGACTGAATTTTCAGAAGGTTCATTGAGAATCGGGAAGAAGAAGATCCGACCAGTCACGTTGGGTTGACTGTGGTGTGTGGTGCTAATTTATTTTATGAGAGGGACATAATACGCGCAGTGTCAGGTGCACGTATGGACGCCCACGCGGTGTAAATTCGGCGACTGGAATAGCGTGGGTGGCGCTCTGAATTAGCTAATGCCGAGTAGAAATGCAACCGAGTGTTATTCATCGCGATGCAACGTTCTCTTTCTTCCTCTCTTTCGTCCCCTGTGCGTCGTACGTCGGTTAAGGTTAGGGCGTTCCTCTTAACGTTCACACATTGTTGTTAATTGTAACATTAAATATATCGTAAGATATAGGAGTTTTCTTTGTGATGTGAGAAAAAAATATCTTACGATTTGTTTTTTCTTCGATTATGAATCAACTATAAGCTATTTTTATTTGAAAAAAATAATATATATATCTTTTAAAACGTGATAATTTTTGAGGGGAGAGGGAGGATTAAAATTAACGAATTGTTAAAAAGTTAGGATTAAATGATGTGTAAAAAGCTCTCGAAGAAAGAAGATTTTGATAAAAAATTGAAATATGAATTATTCTGAAGATTTATCTTAATTATTATAATTTCATTGAAATCGATCGATGAAAATTTTATAAACAACCGATATTTTCTATAAAAAATTACGAATTCGTAAATAATTTTAAAATTTTTTGAAATTTCACTAAAATTAGAAAAAAATTAGGTAAAAAATGACCTTTCTTCCGATTAATAATAACTTTTTTAAAAAAATTTTATAACAAACGTCTCTCTTTATTAATTTCCTCTCTAAAAAAAAAAAAAATCGTGTTTTCCGCCAACCTCTACCTTTCGAAATCATTTGTAATATATTCACAATAAGATCGTGCGATCGCGTGTATCGCTGGAAACCGAGCGAGCTATCGTATACATCCTTCTTTGTCTCTCGAACATTGGGAAATAACGAAAACAATCCGAATGAGAGCAGAGGTCGCCGTCATCGCCAGATCAACGAAACGAAGAAAAGTTTACGGTTACCTCCGTATCTGATCTAAAATTGACAAATTTGTACCGGGGCCAATCAAAATGAACAGAACGGTGAAAACATACGTTCCCTTAACACACGTTCGTTTTAGCTTTAATAATAACTTTCGAGGAGGACGCAGAGCAACGATTCGAGTATTATTGTAACGATTAATAGAAGTAACACGTGGCCAAGCGGCCGATGAAGCGCGGTTAAATATAAAAGGGGTTTAAAATAAAGCGACGAA